AGCAGGCTCATACCATATCACTCAGAAGGTAAGAAGTCAGTCCAGAAGTACAAAACCTTTGCTGCTTTTTTAAAAGAGTAATGCTTTTTTATCTGGACTAAACCCTAAGCAGCATTTTTTTTTTTAACTTTGTGACAGAACACATGCACTCATTGAAAAGAGAGAGAGAAGGCACTCCCCACCACATGCACCACTCCCCAGCACTAGCGCCCAACATGTTTTTCATTGTTTTTTTGGTTTTTGGGTTTTTTTGGAGAGGTTTTTGCTATAGGGTACATGCGCTCACCAGACACAGAGAGACAGAGAGACAGAAAGCGAGGAATCACCCCCCAGGGGAGATGGCCGTGCCGCAATCCCTTCTCCTCCATTCTCCTCTCAGGATCTTGGGCACGCACGCACCCGCGCCCAGCATGAATTTTAAGCCACCGGGTCCAGGACACGAACCACGGTCAACTACGTGGGAGTCCAGCGACATAGCCATTACGCCAACTGTTGGTCCCTCAACATGTTTTTTCAAACCTCTGGGTCTGATACTCAAAGGACATAGTCAGGCACATGGGGTCCCGGGCCTTACCCACCACCCCACCGGCTGCCCCGAGAAGCAGCACTTGGGAGACTCCACAAGCATTCCAATTTAGAAGCTCGGTATTGAAGACACATGACATGATCTCTGATTTTGCTTATATCAGCAACTCCACCAAGAGTTATCTGCTTTAAAACTGAATTCAACCAACCATGGTCACATTTTCCCCTCAAAATCCCAAGCAGGTGCCAGGTTCTTTCTTCCATGCTTACTGCAGACATTTCAAAGAATATTCTGCCAGCAGTAGTGAGGCCCAACAAAGAAGATATTCACAAATGAACGAAGCTTCTCCTCTCACCTCTACCTCAGTCTCAGTAATAACAAGTCACTCTAAGACCTAGTTTCTCTGCACTTCCACTTCCCCATACTGGGAAGTAAAAGTGATAATCCTGACTTACATACCAGGATCCATTAGCAAGATTGATTTCGAAACAGAAATTGCTGCTAAGATTTTGGCCAATGATTGCCATTTATATATACATGACTAGTACATTGGGCAAAAAAATTTTATTCATGTTTCATTAGAGAAGGAAATAGAGTGGCCCTTATATCAGAACAGATATAAATCCACAAAACCACAAACACTACATTCCAGAGTCTAAATTAAAAGACCCTTTTAGGATTCCTTGAGCTAGCTTGGCTCATGGTAAAAGAGAACATTTTGCCTTTTGATCTCTCCTGGATTGGGATGTCTACATTACAGAGCCTCTTTGGGCATATTTCTTCCAAGTCTTTTTCCCCATTTCAAAGGAACCCTACTATGAATACTAGAAAAGAACGACATTAAAGATGGAGCTATCAAGGTAATTATCTGTGGTTTTCACTCTTGCAAGACTTTTCTTCCAAAGAACTAAAAACAGTTTGACAAGAATCTCGGGAGAAAAACTAGATAATTGTGATCATTCCAAGGAGCAAAGTCTATGCACAGGTTAAGGACTTACATGCATCTGCTGCTGATATTCTTGGGAGACTTACCCAATGTATTAGGTTCTTCAGAGAAACAGAAGCAATGAAATATGTAGAGATATATGAGAGGATTTATTGTGAAATTGGCTCACACAAGTATGAATGCTAAGAAGTACAACAGTATGCTCTGTGCATGCTGGAGACCATGAATGCTAGTGGTATAATTCAGTCCATGTCCCAAGGCAGCCTGAGAACTAAGGGTGCTTACTGCTGTAGGCCCAAGGTCCAAGAGCTCTGATGCCTCGGAACAGGAAAAGATGGGTGTTCTAACTCAAGACAGCAAATTTTGCCTTCCTTCACCCTTTCCTATTCAGGCACACCCTCTCCAGAGTGGATGATGGCCACCCATTTTGGTGAGGACAGATTTTCATTACTCAGTCTGGCTGACTCAAATCCAAATCTTCTCCAGAGATACTCACCGACACATGCAGTCAGGTTGGCACACCAAATTATCCATCACACACAGTGATCTCAGGAAGTCAAGAAAAGCCAATGCTACAACCTACATCTGTTTTTACATCCCTTCTTATCACTTACAAACCCCAGCACAACTTTAATAAACATCATAAATTGGAGAGAAATCAAACTCACCTCAAAAGCTGATTTTTAATTGTCATGTTTTTTTTTTTTTTTTTTTTTTATGTCTTGTGGAATGTTAAAATGGTAAAAGTAAAATAAACAGTTCAAATGGTGGTAAAAGTGGTCAGGTGGTGCTCTATGGACAAACCCTACTTCCAACCCACTTTGACAACTCAACACAATGGGGGTAACTTGCCCTTGGTAAGTGCATTAACATTTATCAAAATAATGTCAGAAAGGCCAAGCTGCAGTGGAGCAAGTGGTAGAGATGCTGCTATGCAATGCTGGTGGCCATGTGAGAAGGCCCCAGGTTCATGTCCTGAGTACCTAAATACACACACTGCACCACAAGTGTGCCCACGATCCTCCCTTGCTGCAAGTCTGGGGGGAGAATCACAGTATGGCAATTCTATTAAGAGGCCTTCCCCAGGACCAGCAGGTGTCATGGTGGTTAAGGCACTGGACTCCCACATGGCCAACTATAGTTCAAGTCCCAGAACTGTGCTGAACCTTCACTTTCCCTCTCTGTGTCTACCTCTGGTCAAACTAAAAAAAAAAAAAAAAAAAAAAAAAAAAAAAAAAAAAGTAATAATAAATTAATTAAATTTAAATAATTCTAAAAATAAAAAAAGAGGCCTGCCCCCTTGGGCCAGCAGGTGGCATGATAGTTAAGGTGCTGAACTCCAACATTGCCAACTGTGGTTTGAGTCCCGGACCTGGTGGCTTGGTTTCTCATTTTCTCTCTCTCTCCCTTTTTCTCTCTGTCTCTCTGTGATAAGAACATGTGCCCTGTAGCAAATTTTAAATTAATAGTGATAAATAAAATTATATAATTATTTTGGGGAAAAAAGTGACCTTCACTCACTTCCTCTCTCTCAGGATATAAGTAAACTTAAAAAGAAAAAAAATAATGCCAGAAACTGGTCTAGAAACACCTGAAAAAGTATAGGAGAAGTTTCCTCAGAAACCCTCCTAACACACCTTAAAGATGCTGGTTCTCACTGTGTGTAAGCCACCATCTGAAATATCCCGTGACAGTGTTTTTGCAAGTATGGTCTTCAGACTGGCAACACGACCAGTATCTGGGCACTGAGGAGTGCACCATGCCCCGGTCCTGCTTTAGACAGACTGAATAGGAAACTTGGAGGATGAACCTAGAAATCCATATCATAGCCTTTCAAGTGATGCTGATGCATGCTAAACTTTATATAATTCATTGTAACTTTATATAAAAGCTTCAAATTCTCTCATTTAATCCCCATATGCCAGTAAATCGATTTTATTATCAACCTCATATCCCTAAGGCTGAAACAGGCATAGGAAGTTGAATGACTTGCACGACATAGTTTAGATTCTAAGGGCTAGAGACAGGAGTTGAAACCAAGATCATCTGACGAAGAGTCCCATTACACTGTATTGGTCCCCCTCACACAGTGTCTTCTGGTCTGTAAGGGAACAGTGTGCTCTAAAGCAATGCTGTCCAATTCGGTACATATCTACTTACATTTAAAGTGATCAAATACTTTGCTTCTTTAGCCACACTTTCAAGTGCCCAGTATCTTCATGTGGCTGGTGCCCACCGTATCAGATAGCATGGATGAAGAACTTCTTTTAGACACTGCTTCTTTAAGACAGTCAACTTGGAATAGCTAAGTGCATACAGTTCAGGACTCTTCCTGGAAGGCTCTTCAACTAGAGAAATCCTGAAGACAGTAAAAGGATTAGTCGGAAACAACAGGCCAGAGCTCCCCAAACAGTACTTATTAAGAAGAGCTGGCAGGTTTTGTATACTTGCTATATGCCGGGCGCTTTGTAAGCATACTTACATTGAATATCTCCTTTAATACAAGGCTTGTATACCAGCCCTAAAAGATAGGAACTATCAATACCACTTTTTCAAGAGAACAAGATCTGGCCACTTATCAAGAGTCACACATTAATTTGTTGTCTCTGGTTTCTCCTAATTAGGAATTTTTTTCTAGAGAGATTTTTTGCCATGGGACATGTGTGCTTGCTGGAGAGACAGAGACACAGACAGAAAGCGAGATATTACCCTCCAGAGAGGATGGCCATGCCACAATCCCTTCTCTATTCTCTCTGGATTTTGGGCACACACTCACATGTTCCTAGCGTAAGTTTCAAGCCACCAGATTCGGGACTTGGACCACAGTCAGCCATGTGAGTCCAGCAACATAACCACTGCGCCATCTGCTGGCTCCCTATTAGGAATTTGAACTTATGTGCCCTTTCACCTAGTCTAGTACCTTCTCAATACTGCCATCCTCTCCTGCATGTCCTACAATGTTTCTAGCCCTTACATCTCCCACCCTTCCTCTGTTTCTCCTCTGCTTCTTCCTTCAATGCTCTCATAATTATTCTCCAAAGATCTTCATTCACGCACACTGTTCACAGTACAGCCTTTGGGTTGCTTTCTGTCGCACACTTGGTTTTCTTTTCATGCACTGCATCAAGTGCAGAGCGCCTGCGTTGCTATTAAAGGGAACGATTGTGCTATGTGGTCGTTTCCCTTTCACTTGAGGAGTCTGTTTCTGTGTTCTCATTGGCTCTGTGTTTCTCCTTGTGTTATCAACATTTACTTTTCACTCTGTCAACCGAAGGGTCTTTCGACATTTTTTTGCTGGGAAGAGTTCATCTCTCCCTGAGATTGACCTGAAAACAGATTGCCCATCACTAGCTCTTAACATTGTCAAACTCCGCCAAACGCGGAACAGCCTGGAGGCTTTACTGTTAATCGTGTTAAGCCCTCCTATGTTAACCCTCAATGATTCTGTTGTGCTGGCTAGGCAGGGATTATCTTCTTTCTCTAGGAAGGAAACTGGCGTTCAG